AAGTGTTCATATTTCTAAATGGAAAGCATCACTTAATTTCATTATTTACCTAACAATGAATATACATATGACTGGAAACAACATTTTGTTATTCTTCAGTAAAATTAAAAATTTCTTCGTATTTCTAAGCAGAGTGTTCTAAATGAAAATTATTTAAATGTCTACAAATGCCAACAAGCATTTGCAAAATGTTCAACATCAGAAGTATTCTTATAAATTTTTGTAGTTTTCATGAGTATGCATCCCCCTCCCCCATGAAGATCGAATGACCACTGGACTGAACAATGAAAATGAATGAACTTTTTCAATAGGGAAACTTTCTTCTTCTCCTTCCAGAAAGTGGAAAAAAAATACAAGAGATTAGATTTTTTATCACTTGGAAGGTCCAGTGTACCACGCTATACTTTTATTTCGGCTACGTTAATAATTTTAAAATTACCAAAATTGTTATTGTCGAATTTTTTTTTACCCCGTATCTTCGAAACAAAGCGCCCCATCAAAAATCATCAAAGGACAACATATCCTTAGAGTAGTTCAAGGAATAGCTCCTTAATTTTTTGCCGTATGTTTAATAAACACCCTGTAGATACCAAATTTTATTGGGGACATTTAATGGTTCACTAATATTTGGAGAAAATTATGAAGCTAAATATTTTTCCATAAAATTTATTGCTTCGCCTAGATATTTTCCAAACTCAGTGATAACAGCTTTCTAATTATATTTTTCATATATCTTACCTTCTTTTTTGAGTACGATGAGTTCACTTCCAAAATAAAAAAGTTTCACTCTTTACAACTAAACATTGTGAAAAAACTTTGGTATTCGTCACGTCTGATGAAGCAGTTATATAGAGAAACACGGGTTGCGGTTTGAATATTGTAAGGTCCACCCGTCTCTCAGTATTGGGGACTATGATATATTTTGTATTTATTCCTTATCTATACGAGCCCAGGCATTTTGAGTACTCTGGCTATGTTAGTCCGTTTCCAAGAGGGGTGGGGGCAGTTTCTTGATGTCACAGCATATCAGTAAAATCCCTTCAAATAACTCGAGCGTTTTGATCAAATATACTCATATTACGGATGCGATTCCCCAGTGTCAGTATCCTGTGAGGAGTTTCGTTACTGACCTCAAACCGTTTTTGTCCAAGCTTGAAGGCTAGTCAGCTTCCTTTGCAAATAGGCTCATCACACTTTTCGCTTGCTTTTGTCATAACACTTCATTCCAGATATTTTTTTCTTACTACCTAGGAGCTGCCTGACGTATCCATTTCTCCCAAGTCTCCAAAAATACTACAGCCTCATGGGCTTATTGCCTTCTACTACCATCTGAACTAGTTTGAACAGGTCCATTACTGGATGTATATCATATTCTTCTGGACATAATTTGGTTTGTCCCTATTCCTTTGTTGTATTGCCTGCAACCGAAGTATCCGTTATTCAGATGTCCTCCCAATGGACAGTATCAAGCGAGTAATCCTGTAATTGTTCTGAGCCGATCTCTGATTTGTTCAAGCAGTTATTCGCTTCTCTTTCCGGACGGTCCTCTTATGAAGGTTTCTTGTGTGTGTGTGTGTATTCCCTGGTATGTTTTCTCAGTATTCTATGTTTCATACAGACTCACTTTCCAATATGGCTCCGTGTCAAAGACTTGGGTACCCTCAGATACCTGTCTGGCACTCATTAGCTTTTTGGTTTCCTGCGATGCCTGAGTCTCCTGGCACCCAGTGTATAGTCAATCTATTCCTGTACGCGAATTCGCTCAGTTCCTAACGGCATTCCCATTTCAAGTGCAGCCAGGCAATCGCGGTAGAAGATTAGAGTGGTGTCAAGAACATCAAAACTGGGATGCAAATGATTGGGCCACAGTTTTGTTTACAGACGAATCCAGATTTGGATTTCATCCAGATTCTC